GAACTCCTTCTTGGGACTGAATAACCCTTTAAATAACTGGTACAATAACTCCAAATCTGATGCTTGTATTTGATTGGAACTTTGATACTGTTACATTGGATTGAACTTTCAATGGTGCAGTTGTCTCAACTGGAACATGGCTAAGTGGGATTTACAATTCTCAATTTAGTGTAATCCTAAATATTGTGAAACAGTTACACCAATTGCCATATTTTAATTACGCAATTTTAAGGCATACAACTAATTGCGAGCAGTAACGTGGAAATCTGTTTGTTCTGAATTGCTTCAGGTGTAGCATTGGTGCCCTGCACCTTGTTTGTATTTGCATTGGGACATCCTCCTGACATGAAAGGCGCTTTACAAATGTAATTTTGTTGTTGTATTACTAGCATAGACCTTCATATTTCAAAGTTTGAGTTCTATGCTATAGCCTTAAGTGTATTCCTAGCAAACAATTTTAAAATCAAAAAGGTTGGAATATAAGATACTAATTTACGCACTTGTTCGATTGTATAACTTGAACACTTCTCATTTTTAAAATGGTGCAATTCCATAGATATTTTTGCTCCATCCCCTCCTAGTTTTCAGGTGCAAGTCTCTTTTTATTGAGTGCAGGGAATTGCCCACAAAATAGTCACGACACTTCACAGTAAATCCTGTGAGCACTTTGAGACACCCTCCCAAGTGAAAGGTGCTATCAGATGCAAGTTATTATTGTATAGTAGGAATGCTCATGACAAGCAACATCCACTGAAGAGAGTTGCCTTATCTTTCCTAGGCATACTGCCAGTGCTAATTCAACTTGTCCCCAGGAGGATGATTGGGTATTAGATGACTGGCAAGCAGATCACTAGATGGTATTAGATCACTGCCAAGCAGATCACCTACATAGTTGGTGCCAGGAATTCCTCTTGAGTGATTTTGCAGAGCAACACAACTTCATAAAAAAGTGTATTGCTTTAAACTTCCAGTACAAACATTATTTATAGTGTATAATTGTACAAGTTGGAGGTGAGGGTCACCAAAGTCATCTGGTCACCAGGGTAGCCACAGAATTCTGGATTAAAAACAATGTAGTTGTAAATCTAAACTCCAGATAACTCTTTCGGTTATTACAGGTTTTGGGTTTGTCATAATATTCACCTTCAGCATGGTGGAGAGACCTATGCAGAGTAGCTTTTGATGTCAGCCATCTTGATATCCTCTGGAACTCCCTGCCTCAATCTATCCACTTGGCACCCTCTTTACCAATCTTCAAATTGCACATGAAGACATAAATAAATGCAATATTACGCACCAGGCTTTCTTGACATCAGTTGCTTAATCTTGCTGTTATTGGTCTTGTGCTCTTGTGCATGCATCTTTCAAAGAGGTTATTTGATTTATTGCAATGCTGGAAAATTTTCCCAGTATGTAAAATGAACTAATGGATAGGAAAGCCAGATTTAAAATGCATGCTTTTTTCTCTGTAATGTATGTTCTACTTTGTCAATTGCATTCAGTTGCTAATAACTTGCAACCTCCAAGGCACTGAACATGGTTAATGCTTACCATGGTTTTTCAGTGGGATACATGGTCCACAGATGCTGATGCCTCTCAGCTTTATGCATCCATAGCAACCTATAATTAGCTCACTCTAGAGATTGGTTCCTTTTTATCAAGATTAGAAGTGGTCCTGGTTGAGCGATGTGCATTCATCAGAATGCAATTCTGCTTCAGTTGTGCTACCTTCAGCGCCTTGGGACGTCCTCCCGATGTGAAAGGCTCTATACAAATGTAGTGTTGTTGTTGTTTAGGCCATGTAATTTAATTGAACTGTTGCATGAGTGTTGGGTGAAAACAGCTGGACACCAGTATTGACATCATTGCGTGTAGAAGACGTGAAGCAGCAAGTCTGCTGTGGCCTGTAAATGAGACCCTCCTTCATATGAATATTACTTAGATTATTTACACTTAAGTGTTTACTGGGAAAATTGGTCTTGTGCTTGAACATCTAGAAGCCATAGCTGTGTGTGTATATAATCCTTGCATTTGACATAGTACTTTTCACGCCTTTTAGCCGTCTCAAAGTGATTCACATAATATACTGTGATTGACTGCATATTTGTGGGCGAAACTGCATTAGAAACTGGATGAACTGGCCTTTTTGGTTTGACTACATAACTATTTATATAAAATTTGTCATCCAAAAATATTTGTGCCTTGCAATCAGCAAAGTCATCAATTGCAGAAAGTATTTTAAACTGAGGGGAATGGCCTTTGGAATAAATAGAATACTGTGTTAAAGGATGGTATGTTAATTGATTTTTCGTACAAATACCAATTCATTCTTGGGTGTTTGAAATCTATCTAAAACTTTATTTTCCTTCTCCCCTTCAGGTCCCCACTATGCACAATTTTCTCAGTGGAGGGCAAGTATCCTTGCTTTGAATCTCATTGTGCTGTACTGGGACTAGTCACTAGGAAGTAGGGGGAAATCAATTGAACCAAATTGCGCAAGTAAGTCATCCTTCCTATTTTAGCCTGTCATAGTTGCATTTCTGTAACCATTGAGACATCTAACCATCACCTTCTCAGGTGAGATCAGTTGTAAACTGTTCAATTTATGGGAAGCAAAGAAAATGTTGGCAGAGCTTGCTCCTGAGTCGGGGGAGGTGACCATTTTGGTCGGCCAACAAAATAAAATTTCTTGATTGAATATTTATGCCTTAAATCAAGAAAAACCTAGAAATGGATTGATTGAACATAGATTTACCTAGACTAGCGCGAATATTCGTGGAGCTACTATGTGCTTTCTCGAAATGGAAGGGATCGGTATTGGGACCACTGCTCTTTCTAATATATATTAATGATCTGGACTTGGGCATAGAGAGCACTATTTCCAAGTTTGCAGATGATACAAAGTTAGGTAGGGTAGTAAATAGTGAGGAGGACTGTAACCAACTGCAAGCAGACATACACAGAATGGTGGAATGGGCTAACATGTGGCAGATGGATTTCAATGTGGATAAGTGTGAGGTGATACACTTAGGTAGGAAAAATGTTAGGAGGCAATATAGACTTGGTAGCTCAATCTTAAAGGGGTGAACATACAGAGAGATCCGGGTGTTCAAGTAAGCGAATCATTAAAGGCAGCGGGGCAGGTAGATAAGGCAGTAAAAAAGGCATTTGGTGTACTGAGCTTTATTAGTAGGGGCATAGAGTATAAGAGTAGGGAGGTTATGGTTAATCTATACAAAACACTGGTTAGGCCTCAGCTGGAGTACTGCGTCCAGTTCTGGGCACCTTACTTCAGGAAGGCACTGGAAAGGGTGCAGAGGAGATTCACGAGAATGATACCAGGAATGGGGAACCTTAGCTATGAGGACAGGCTGGAGAAGTTAGGACTTTTCCCATTAGAGCAGAGAAGGTTATGCGGGGACCTGTTAGAGGTCTTCAAGATCATGAAAGGTTTCGACAGGCTGGATAAGGAAAAGCTGTTTCCGCTGGTAGGTGTATCTGTGACCCGTGGTCACAGTCTTAGGATATCTACCAAAAGAAGCAGAGGGGAGGTTAGAAGAAATTTTTTTCACTCAGCGAGTTGTTCGAATTTGGAATGATCTGCCTGAAAGGGCAGTGAAGTCCGATTCGATAACAGCTTTTAAGAAAGAACTGGATAGGTATCTGGGGAAGACGGGTTTGCAGGGTTATGGGGAGAAAGCTGGTGATTGGGGTTAGTGAAAGTGACTTGCTCTGTCAAAGGGCCGGCACAGACTCGATGGGCCGAATGGTCTCTATCCACTACGTTTGTTGAATACTTTGAAATGTTCTTTTGCATGAAAGGCTTTATTTACAATTGTAAGTTATTGTTTCAATTCCATATTTTTACTGCACATTTATCTTTGAACTGTATGCTACATCTTTACCCATATTCTTAACTGGAGACTGGGCCTCCTGCAATAAGTATTTATTTAGCCCTTGACCCTAATTTGGTATTGTGCTGCAAGTTATTGATTTGGTTTCACTCCATGTGTTTCCACCTGTGAAAATATATGCATCTTCATTTGTGCGGGTTACATTACTATAGGAAGAACAGTATGATTGATGTATCACAATGCAAGGAACCACACAGTGTAAGCATTACAAGACAGTAAAATACAATAATTGCAACTTGCATATTAGAAATTGAAAACAATGTAGCTTTGTGAGTGATCCAAAGGCCATGCACCAACTAATCTATAATCTTTCTGACAACAATGTTGCCTAATTTTTTTTGTCGGAACCCTGGCAGTGACTTAAATTGAGCATGATAAACAAATTAAAATTAGTCTTGAATAATGGATGGTACCTGTTCTTAACTTTAGTAGTGGTATGGAAACAAAAAAAATGTGGTTTAGGTTGGTCAGACTTGAAACCACGGTCAAAGTAATTTAATTTGAAATGGGTCTAATATTTAAAACATTAGAAACGCTAGAAGAATAAAGACAAAGGTCCATCTAGTTCGTGTTCCACCTTTGTGGTGGTCGAATGCACATATGTCCCAAACTACCTATGTACTATATCTCATTATGTTATTTCCTAAAATAAAACTAAATCTAATTTCCCAAAGCAGTGAGTGGGAGGATGACTGAAGTCACGATTGAAGAGAAGGTCTTGTGATGGACCTTAAAGCAGGCAAGGGTGGGGGCAAGGTGAAGGGACTTCCATTATCACATTCTTCTCCCATCTACTCCCTTATTCCAGTTTGCACTTTATGCATATCCTACGGTTTTGATAACCCAGGATGATGCAGTTCCAGGTCCAAGAGCGGGTCTCTTTATAATGGTATAAATCATCCAAATGATGTAGAGTTCGAAGTTTTCTTTCTAGTCTGAAGCATTGATTGTCCAGGGCCTTGGGACGTCCTCTCTACGTGAAAGGCGCTATACAAATATAATTTTGTTATTGTTGCTATAGTAGCTGGATCACCTGAATGCTTGGGCAAACAGAAAACATTCACTTCCTTTTGTTTTATATTTCAGAACAATCAGCCACTCGATGGGGAGTAACAGTGGAGCCCCTCCTTGTGTCGCCGTCCCAGCTCTCTACTACAAGCAAAATCTCAACACCTCTTCCATAAAGATAATGAAACTAGTATTAACTGAATGGCAATTAATATGGATTTTCAATAGTAATAGACAATAAACAAGCCATAATTTTCAAAACCTTTCCATCAATATCTGTTTCCTTCTGGTGCATGATCCTTTTTACAATAAATTTAAGGAAGATCTGCAAGAAAAATACTGATTTCATATCTGAAGTAGTGAACAGGAGAAACATCTTAATTTAACCTAAAGTTGAAGCATTCTGTTATATTTATATATTTTTATGGTAACGACCATGGCACCACAAAACGACTCAGAATCTATGCAAGCAAAAGAACTCTCCATTACACATTTGAAAAGGAATGAAGACAAAGTGAATGATGAAAATGTTAGTGAGGGATCCATCGACCGCATTCCCATCAAGCTGTGGGTGATGCATGGTGCTGTGATGTTTGGCAGGGAGTTCTGTTATGCAATGGAAACCGCCTTAGTGACGCCAGTATTGTTGCAAATAGGTGAGTCTATAGTCTTTCTGAACCAGTTTCTGCAATTCAAAGGCTCAGGTGATCTTTGATTTGTTTTGGATTTTTGTGTGATTGCATTATGTATTACCTCCTTTAAAAACAGGCAGAACGTTCTAGATGTAGTATTTTCTCTTCAGCATTCCACCCTAAAATCTTTGCCTGAACAATATAATAATAAATTATATATAGCTGAAAATCACCAAATTTGTTATCTGAAGGAGACCTACCATTCTTTCATTCCCTAAACCATTGGATTGTTGTCTGCACCAAGGAGATAGAAAAGAGAAAGCCTACTTTGAGATATTTTTGATGCTAAACTACCCTATGACTCCTCGATTTCTGCATTGTCTATGGGTAGGATTTGCATGGCCAAACCCATGTACAGTATTCATAAGTATTTTCAATTAGTTAGAAATGCTGCTGAATTGGTTGATTAGTGCTCCCATTTCCTCTACCTAGGTTATTTAAAAAAATCTGTCATTTGAATCTGTAAACTAGAATTACTTAAAACTTGCCTTCCTTTAAGTTTTATCATCTTATTGACTCTTCAATATACAATATAACTTTATAGTATTCTGTGGTCAGGCCAGATTAAGGGATGTGGAGACTCTAAAATATATCAGTTTAGGGGTCCTTTGTAGAAAAAGCTAATTTGTGGGGGGGAAGTGGGGGCACCACCAAAAAGTATGAAGCACAAAGGTTCAGCCCTGCCCTCCCATACTGGTGTCATCCTAACCCTAGCATTGCGGCAACCGCCTTCAGCCTCCTGGGTTTGGAGTGAGGGAGGCTGGCCGGGCAGGTGATAGAGAACTCGCTATCGTCTTGGTGGCGACAACTTTCCTGTTTCTAGGCTCCCCAGCTATCCCACCCATACTCTGAGCCAAGATGCAGAGTGCGGCTGTGCAAGGAGGAAAGTAGCCACTATTTGCACTTGCGCAATCGCGCCTATAAAGCTGATGTGCGGTTACACAGTTAATTGCTCGGGGATCTGTTGATGACACGACTGGTGCTGGCAGTGGCTTTTGGTACATCAGGAGCCATTTTCAGTGGGGCGTCTGTAATCCATTCGCAAGGGCATTTGGGAAATTTCCTGAATAGCCAGTCTGCTTCTGGCACTATCCCCTCAGAGCTCTAAGACATGGTTTAGTTTGTTTATTGATTAATTCAACTCTGTTCTGTAGATTAAGAGTGGATGTTGCACCTAAATTTTTTCAGATATTTTCAAGTTGCCATTTGAAGACATTTTCTAAATGTTCAGCCTGTTTCTGATTTGTTCTACTTATACAACAATAAAAACAACAACAACTTGCATTTATATCACACCTCTCATGCAGGGTAGATTTCCTGAGTGCTGACTCAGACAATTTACCAGTTGTTATGGCCTTGATGTTAAGTGCTAATTTGCTAAGCACAAAATTGACATTATTGATTGTTATAGTCAACATAAGGATGTACATTAGCTACAGTTAAATTAGTATCCTTGTCTTTTCAACACGCAAATTTGCTTTCAAAATTACACTGTAAAATTCTCTGGCACAGCTGGTTAATTAATTTTCTCATGGAACCTGAGCATCTTAAGATGGAAGCTCCAATCAATTTCAAGCAGTATGGCAATAGCTATTCAGTGATTACTGCTATGTGAATATCAGATGAAGACTAAAATGAACTGTGCTCTAATGTAGTGCTTTTTTTCCATTCTTTTCCCCTGCCCCCACCCCAATCAATTGCCTGCTGAGCATTCGCTGGCTAGACTAGCATATCAAGGATGATCACTAGGGTTAGCAATTTGTTCGTAGCCAGTGACTCTAGCATTACCCTAGTATGAGTCAGTGTCTTCAGGAGAATAGGAAAAACGCTTAAGAGCTTTTGTATGGATAATGTATTTTCAGTTCAATATGAAATTCAATCTCATGAGCCACCTAGTCCAATCCCATTCTCCTTCATACTCTCCATTTCCTCTCCAAACCCCCAGTTTAATTTATTTAGTGCATTCTGAGTGGAGGTGACAGGCGCAGTTCTAGGAATTGCAATGCCTTACATATAGTCGTTCTTTATTGAATAAAGATCGGTGATCTTCCAACCTTTAGAGGAAGTCTTGAATCAATATTTACATGCCGGTTCCATTTTCACTTTTGCACATGATGGAAATCATCATTTGATTTTGCCTCATTTATTAAACAAATATCTAACTTGTTTTATAATACAATAGATCTTAATCCATGATTTACACTCTGTACATGGAAAATATAATGCTGGAAATATACTAGTTCTCACATCTTAGCTTAACCAATGTTGAATAAACTAATTGTAGTGAAATTTGCAAGGAACTTTGCTGCTAATGAAGTCAGTATCTTTTGTTTGGTGAGATATCCTTATCGAGGGATGGGTTATCTACTGATTCCGCAAAAAGTTGAGGACTAACAGTCGTGTACATTGCAGTAGTATGCATGAATGAGTTGTCTGGTCACTGCATTGAAATTGGTTGCAAAGTGATGTTAGTGACAATTGATCTGTTAAACTTAAGCAGTGGGTTAGCGATTTTGGAGGAGAGCTCCAGAGAATGAAGGCAATGTGGTTGAAAGCTCTGTAGGGTTTCTGTAGGAGGGGCAATCAAAAAGCAGGTCTGAGTTGGTGGAGTGGAGGGAGTAGGTAAGGATATCAACGGATATGGAGCAAAAGCTGAGGTACAGATCAGTCATGATCTAATAAAATGGTGGAACAGGCTTGAAGTGCTGAATGGCCTGCTCCTGTGAATAGCTGGAGAAGTCGGTTCCCTGGAAATTGCAGAGGTCTGTAGGGCAAGTCAATGGGGGCATTTGAAGGCAATGATCAGGATCTTAAAGATGATCCACTGGTATTTAGGGAGCCACTGGAGCCACAGAGTTCCATGAATCCCACCTATACATGGAAATTCCAGAGAGATTTATTGGAATGGAATGTACACACACTTCCTAGAGGGATACTCCCTAGAGGGAAGTATCCCTCTGTAGTTCTCAGCCTCACTAGGGTCACCTTCTTGTGGATAGAAACCACAATTACACTCTGGAACACTAATTGAATGCGTGCAAGAGTTAACCAGGACCAAGTGGAATTGGAGGTTCTTGGCTTGGATCTGTGAGATCCTCACTGTTTTACGTTTCTCCCCATCCCCCAGAGCATCTTAGGAACTCAGTGTTAATACCGTCCACACCAGCTGCCTTGCCACTAGCAAGACGGAGCTGTGTAATTCCACCTCCAACTGATTGGATCGTTAAGGCCATCCAAACCTCCCGCCAGCTATTCCATCCTTAATGCAGTAGATCTCAGCCATGGCTTATTGGGCCAGATTGCCAACTCTTCATGTTGTTCCCTCCGGACCCCAAAGGATACCCCCATAACTTGTAATGGATTGAGGGACAAAAACTAAATAATCTGATTTCAGAAAGAGTTCAGAGTGGCTGGACCTTACCCAATTAGAGCTGAACAAGCCTTAATTTAGTTTTGCCCTCCTTTTCATCCTTAAGTAGGTTGTTTGTAATACTAGAAAGAAAATGTTTAAAGGAATTGCATTGTGTTACTTCCCCTGATGGTAATATTACATCTGAGCATCATTCTAACCACAATACATTAATTAAATGCAGTTTTTTTTCACTGCAATTTTTTCTTAAGTGTTTTCAGGTTTTTTGTTGCATGGTTCTACCGGTTACAATAGTTCTGTGGTACCTCCCTCAACAACAACAAATTACATTTGTATAGCGCCTTTCATGTCAGGAGGATGTCCCAAGGCGCTGGTGAGTCAGGGATCCTCAAATGACTGTTGTTCATGTGACCCTTGACTTTTGGCAGGCTATTTGACCACAGCAAGTTTACCCTCAAGGTAATCAGGGAAGCCTAAATGTAGCTTTTTATAAAATGGATCTTAAAACTGCTTTTTTTTAAAAATAAACTTCTGCAAGACATAATCACTCCAAGCAGATCTGGATAGAAGCTGAGCAGCTGGGTTAGAAGTATTAACTTTATTTTTAAAAAAATCCTTTGTCTGAGTTGGAGTTCATTTTACTCATTTTTAAAACAAACTAACTTGAAGAAAGGGACTAGCTTTCAATTTTGTATCTGAAAATAATTGGTCTTTTTGAGGAAATTCTGCATGTTAATATTTTCAGTTTTCAAAGAGCAAATCTGTGTACACACACAGAATTTTTTTTGTTTGATTTGTTAAAAGTGAAGCTAATTCTAAAATCATGGCATCAAAAGATTTTTGAAAAACAAATGAGTAATGTATCAACTGGGACTGCTGAGCCGAAAGGCACATTTTCTTTAACCGCTAATGTTAAACAGCTGAACTTCTAATTGCTGCTTTTCTGTAGTATTCTTCACGGGTTCTAGTAAAAGGGAGTTATGTGGTGTGCCTAAAACACAATGCATACCACAGCTGGCGATGATGCATTTTTATAATGGGACCATACATGCTTGTGCTGTGGATGCTATTCTGTGACTCTGCACATCAAAACCATAAACCTCTCCCAAAAGATATCAGTGAGCTAGAGATGGAACACTCCATCCAATGTCATGGGAATATGGTTACAGTATATACAGATAATGTTTCCTACAATTTACCAAGGCTAGTAAGATAAAACCTTTAAAGCCTGCATATCTCCATATTCATCATGTGATGTGATGATCTGGAATAGCAGTTAAAGTAATGACAAATCTCCAACCTTATGCTTTCTATCCTAAACTTATAACTTCTATCGAGCCCTGTTTTAATTGGTAATTTTGTTCCTTAAATTCCACCCTGGGATCTTAAGCGTGGTGATGGGTTTCCTGATGCTTCAGACACATGGCTGACCAAAAACAAGTTTAGATTTTTGGGGTAAGTAAATGCTGGAGTCTACGTCCGAATCTTGCTATACAACATCTATTAATTCAGGATTCTATAATAAATATTTGTTCCCAGAGAACTTCTTGCATTTTATATAGACCTTTATGATGTCAATTTATCAAAGCACTCC